GTACAGGGCAGGGACAGGATATGAACCCAGGTTTTCCTGGCTCCAAGGCCAGCTTCCTACCCACTATGTCATGCTGCCTCTCCTTATTATCATTATACTACTATGGAGCTTAGCAATCATCTAAAATGAAATCATTCTTTAAAAGAAGAGATAAGGCCAAAGGAATTGAATTCTCCCAGGTTATACAGCAAGCTTGCCTCCCAACTCCTAGGTCTTGGTTTTCTCACTATAGGAACACAACAGCTTATCTCACATTAACTTCTGGCTCATTATAAAGGAGAACAATGTTCCACAGCCTGAATGTCCTTATTTTTTGCCTGAATACATATAAAATTCTGTAAGTGGACTTCAGGGTAAAAAGTTGTAGAGGGGGCTGCAGAATGTACACGTTTCCTTCTTGTCTGCTGCTCCCAGACCAATTCTTTCTTTATCTCTAAAAGTTCAGTATATTGATGAGACTGAAAAACCAAGGCACCAGACAGAGGTTAGTGGTTTGCCTGAGGAAGATCACCAAAGTCCTTGGCAAAATCAGGACTCAAATTGAGGTCTCCTGACTCCCATGTACCTTCCACTGCATTCTTAAACCTCTTCATCTCTGCCTACTGGCTTCCCTGTCTTCCTCTAAACCCCAGCTAAAATCCCATCTTCTAAAGGAGTCCATTCCCATCCTCTCAATTCTACTGCCTTCTCTCTCTCGTTTCCTATGTATCTGGTATATAATGTTTGTACATATTTGTTTGCTTGCTGTCTCTCCCATTAGATTGTGAGGTCCTTGAGGGCAGGCACTGTCTTTTGCCTCTCTTTGTATCCCATAGCTTAGCATGTAGTAGGTGCTTAATGTTTTGCCTATTATTGACTTTGTGTTTTCAAAATGTCTACAGACTCCTCCTCTCTCCGAGCTTTACCTTTTAAATACCTTAATATCTAGTGTTGAAAGCAAATTTCTGGAAGAACATAACTGATTCCATCTTGTTCTGTATTAACCATTTTGCTGTGTATAACCCCTCATGAACTGCAAGACCAGCCACACAGTATTTCCTTTTCTCCTCTTATCAATACAAAAGGACTTACTGAAGATGAAGGATTCCAGACTCCTGAGAATGTCCTCTTCTCTTATCTGGCCAGATGGGCAGTTTTCTTTGATTTAATGAAACTTAGCTATACTATATCTATCTCCTGTGGCAAATGATATATACATTTTCTTTTAACAAGTATACTATATTTCTTTCTATGACCAGCTGCATGTTAATGAATAGTCATGTTTCTTTTATTTGTTTCATATAACATATGGATATTGCTTGTTAAATTACAAATGACACATCCCCATCAACTGTTAGTGGAGAATGACACACTCTGAGTGTAATAAAACCTGATTCCAATTTGTTCTGGCTTACTGGACAAGTTCTAAACCTTTTCTATAAGCTTATAGTAGCCTCCCTCTCTTGTTGTGAGCCTTCATTGTGGACTTCTGAAAGCATCTTCCTGTGGAGGAAAGCAACACGTCCTCTGTAAAAAGTTATGGGGACAGGGGGCGGGGGGGGGGGGGGGGGGGGGGGGGGGGGGGGGGGGG